GTTTTTTTTTTTTTTTGAAGATACGTTTTTAGAATGAGAGCTGTTGGCTAAAGACATCTATGTTTTAAGGAAATAAATACAATATTAAAAGTATTTAAATCAGGCATGATGACACATCTATAATCGCAGGGTTCAGAAGGCCGAGGCAGAAGACTTGAGAGTGTAAGACTAGTCTGGGCCATGTAGTAAAATCTTTCAAAACAAAGCAGAACAAAAACTATTAATCATTTTTTAGGCTGTTTTCATTGCATGAAATGTTCCATGATGACTTATGAATGTTTTAGAAAGATGCTGACAGAATGACCATTTCTTTAGGCCCTTCTAATCGCTCCAATTCAGTATCTTCTCTTGACCTGGAAGGAGAGTCTGTGTCTGAACTTGGGGCTGGACCTTCTGGGAGTAATGGAGTAGAAGCCCTGCAGCTGCTAGAACACGAGCAAGGTAAAGTGGTGGTGAGTGCAGCTGTACAGAAGAGTCTGTGATTTCAAGAGAAGCATGTACGCTGGCTGTGTTTGGGAAGAGTCATTTAAGTGTAATTAAGAGTAATATAATTTAAGCAAGTTCCAGGACAGCCAGGACTAATTTTGGTTTTTCAATACATTTCTTGTAGTTTTGGAGCCTGTCCTGGAATTCTCTCTCTAGACCAGACTGGCCTTGAACTCACAGAGATACACCTGCCTCTGCCTCCTGAGTGCTGGGATTAAAGGCATGTGCCACCACCGCCTGGCTGCCAGAACTTTTATACAGAGAGGCCCTGTCTTGAAAAACCAAACAGAAAAAAGAAAAATAAAATCACATCTTTGACAGGCCTTCTGAGTGATTCCAGTGTAGGAGGTGACAGTCTTAACATGTGAGGTGTTAAGAAGTGAGTCAAGGGCTGGAGAGTTGGCTCAGCCATCTGTTGTGTCACACACTGTTCCTGGAACACTACACATGTCTTCTCACTGCAGAAAGGGAGCCCACAACAGACCAAAGTCCTTTGATGAGCCATGACTTTTATCGGGGTTACTCATAGCAGAAATGACTCATAGACAACTGTTTAATCCCACCCCAGAAGGAGTAACAGCTCACAAGAGCTGAGAACCTAGAGTACACTGCCTCGTCCGCAGGCAGTTCATCAGGTTGAAGAGTGTCCTTTCCAAGTGATGCAGTTGGTCTAAACCTCTTGCAGGCAGATTAGCTGGCTTCTGCTTCTTCCAGACATCTTGTCTGGTCTCAGATTCTTCTTTGCAGTTTGGCTTTTCTTGACTCTACATGTCTGAGAGGGAATCTCAGCTTTTATTGTTTATTTGAATTGGAATATTTCAATTTCAGAGAACACTGTTAAACAATACTCTTAAGAAGACTTGCTGCTCTTGCACAGTACCCTGGTTTTGTTTTCAGCACCTATACAACAGCCTGTGTGGGCTCTGCAGACACCAGGCATGCCTGTGGTGCACATACATATATATGCAGGCAAAAATTCATCTACATAAAATAATAAAATAAATTAAAAAGAAGGTGAATTGAGGCATGGGTATGCTGATGCAAGTCTTTAAACCTAGCACTCAGGACAGAGAGGATTTCTAGCTAGCTTGCTCTACACAGAGAGACCCTACCTTAGAAAAAAGAAAGTGAATTGAGAGCTAGATGTGGTGACATATGCCTGTAATCCCATCATTACAGAGAGGGTGAGGTGGGAGGAACATAAATTTATGCCTTTTTGAGGCCTTGTTTTAAAACAAAACAAAAAACATCAACACCAAAAACCAAAACAAAATTTTCTAAAAAGCAAATTGACCAGAGTGTGTTGTAGGGCTGGTCAGATGGCTCATAGATAAGAGTGCTTGCTGTGCAAGGTTGAATACCCTCGTTTGAGCCTCCAGCACCCATGTGCCTGTACCCTCAGCATTGGGCCACAGAGACACTGTCCTTGAAGCTTGCTTAGATAGAATGCTGAGTTTTCAGTGCAGTGTAAAGTGAAAAGCAATAGTGGGAGAACACTTTCTGCTTCTAAATGTGCATATCACATACACAAAACGAGTTGTAGAAAATTGGTCTAGAAAAGGATGGAAACTGTAGAATGCACACTTGAGAGCTATTGCCAAGTGAAATAGTTTGCATATGCGTTTATCACCTAATTGTTAACAATAATTGGATCCAGTAAGCCACCCTGAAGTGTTTACCTTTGCTTTCCTGTTTGGCTTAGTTTTTCTCATTTAGACTGGGCTCCTCTATCTCCTGTCAGCAGTGGTTAGGTGGGGATCTCTGCTAATCTTTATTGGGGTGAATTGATCAGTGGAGAGCAGGCTGGAATGTGTGCTTATTAATGATAAAATGAATAACTTAAAGTGTAAAGATAGAATCCTGTTAGGTCAACCGAAAAGTTGTAGCTGTGCCACCATTTTTAAAGTGCTTAAATTTGTTTTTGATAGCTACAACTCAAGATAATCTTGATGATAAACTGAGGAAGTTTGAGATTCGTGACATGATGGGACTAACAGATGATAGGGACATATCAGAGACAGTGAGTGAGACCTGGAGCACCGATGTCCTGGGAAGTGACTTTGACCCGAACGTGGATGAAGATCGTTTACAAGAGATTGCAGGTAACTGGTGTTCAGGGCCTGCAGGAATGAATAATTATCTAATTGTCAGGCCCATTTGTCCATCACGGGAGGGCTAGAGGTAGGGCTCTCAGCATTGCCTAGGTTGCTGGCTTCCATGTGCAACAAGGCATTTCAGTACCCAACCTAAACAGGCATGTGTTAACTACTGTTTATGTTAACCCTGCCATGCTGGTAAAATGGCTGATCTGGGAAAGGCACTTGCTGCTAAGCCTCATGAGCTGACTCAGACCCCTAGGAGCCATAGAGGGAAGAAGAGAACTGTCTCCCACAAGTTGTCCTCTGACCTCCGTGTGTGTCATGTTTTAGCACAGTTCTTCTACATTTTTTTAAAATTATTTATTTATTATGTATACAATATTCTGTCTTTGTGTGTGCCTGCAGGCCAGAAGAGGGCACCAGATCTCATTACAGATGGTTGTGAGCCACCATGTGGTTGCTGGGAATTGAACTCAGGACCTTTGGAAGAACAGGCAATGCTCTTAACTGCTGAGCCATCTCTCCAGCCCCTACTACATACTTTTTTTTTAAAAAAAAGAAAGTCAGGTTAATCCCAGTTCTTACGAGGCAGAGGCAGGTGGATCACTGTGAGTTCAGCCCAGCCTGGTCTACGTAGGTAGTTCCAGGACAGCCAGGGACTACACAGAGAAACCCTGTCTTGAAAAAAAGGAAAGACCTACACAAGAGTCTTTTTGGTTTTTCGAGACAGGGTTTCTCTGTGGCTTTGGAGCCTGTCCTGGAACTAGCTCTTGTAGACTAGGCTGGTCTCGAACTCACAGAGATCCGCCTGCCTCTGCCTCCCGAGTGCTGGGATTAAAGGGTGCACCACCACCGCCCGGCCACAAGAGTCTTTTGAGTTAATTTCATGTCAAGTTTTATCTCTGAGGCATAGTATATTCACTCAGTTTATGATTAGCTTATTGTCTTTTTGAGGCTAAAAACCCTACCTTAAAACGAAGGTTCCATAGACTATATTCATAACATATGGGCTCAGAGAATGCTGAAGTTCTCTAAAAGGAGGGCTGGAGGTGTAGCTATTGTTGGGACACTAGCCTATCATGTGTGATGGTCTAGGAACTGTTCCCAAGCACCACGAAACCATAGAAAACAGAGAAATGAACTCATTTCTAGAAGGACTAATTCTCTTCTAAAGTGTAACTAACCAGTTTTTCCTTTTTTAAAATGTCAGTTTATTGTTATGACATTCAAAACCTGCCCTTTTTAGAATGCTGTTTTGTGACTTTTGAAAGATTCATATACAGCCTTTTAATTACTAGCTTCCTTTTCTTTTTAAATCATGAAAAATATCAACCGCAGACAACAGAGAATGGTAGAAACTCACTGTACCTGGCCCTGAACTTCATTAATTAGACACACATGGCCATGTTTTCCCATTCTTCCCCATCAGGATTAGGCAAATTCCAGACATTCTTTTTCTTTTATTTGTATTTCATGTGTATGAGTGTCTGATATATATATATATATATATGTATGTGTATATATATGTGTGTGTATATATATATATATAGTGTGTGTGTGTGTGTGTGTGTGTGTGTGTGTGT